ACCGGTGCTAAAGGTACGCTCGTCGCATCAATAAACTCTATATTCAACATAACGGAGGTGCGATGGGCGCACCTTTAGCACCGGTGATAGCTGATATATTCATGGCTCACTTAGAAACAATATTGATGGACAAACTAGGGTTGTGACAGTTACCAGTTACCAGTACCACCGTCACTCGGTAACTGTAACTGCTGAATAGTTGACATTCTTGGTAACGGTAACGGATAAGCAGTTACCGTACAAGTAACGATAACGACCAGTTACAAGTAACGGTAGCTGATCAGTATATCTTTCAACAGTCAAATCTCTAAATATCTAGGTATCCACGGTGAGGGTGACAGTTAATGTCTAAATATCTAGGTATCCAGGGTGAAGGTGAGGCTACAAACATTCACCCTCACCGTGGATACCTAGATATTTAGAGATTTGACTGCTGAAAGATATACTGAACAGTTACCGTTACTTGTAACTGGTCGTTATCGTTACTTGTACGGTAACTGCTTACGCGTTACTGTTACCAAGAACGTCAACTGTTCAGCAGTTACAGTTACTGTAACGCTAATGGTAACTGCCACAGCCCTAGGACAAACTGAAACAATATGGAGTCATCGAATGATTAAGATATGTAGATCATACGTTCGTCTTAGTAAAACCATCTACTCAGATTAGTCATATTACTTATTCAAGTCTTAAATTCTTTTCATCCAGATATAAAATTCACGTTTGAAATGGAAAATGACAACACATTATCATTTTTAGATGTAAAAGTTATACGTTTATAGAAGGATAATCATTTTCATACTACAGTCTATCGGTAGCTCACCTATACGAGTCTTATGATAAAATAGTCTTCATTTGTATCGTTACAATATAAGAAGGCAGCATTAGTCAGTACGATACAAAGAGCATTGTCAATATGCACAGATTATGCTCGGCTCAATGATGAGTTTAATCAGATTCGTCCAATAACTAGACAAAATGAGTATCCTAGAGCGTTTGTTGATACAACAACAGGAGTTGGTCTAAATGAATGGTATCAAAGACAAAATGAAGATTTAAAAGTAGATGCACCTGTAAGCGGTTGTGAAAAGAAACGTATGTATATGGAATTACCCTACGTTGAAAATCCCATAAAAGTATTCTACAAGAAAATAAAACATCCCGCCGGTAAAATTCGTCCGGATATTGATCGGGACAAATCGGTTTATATTAAGACCTCCATCTCCGTCTCAAACTTTTTTCAAACAAAAGATCCTGTACCAAAACATTTACAATCAGAAATTGTTTACTCTGCTAAATGTGGGAACTGTAACTATAATTATGTTGGAAAAACTGAACGTCAGAAGATTATGCGAACATGAAGCTTCAAAAGAAGAGTTGATAAATTTGACGTATATTTGACG